TAGCAGCTACGTGTACCCAGTGAAGTCCATAAATAAACCCGAACTGCATTTCGATATCATATCTACTTATAAAAAATAAACTACCTAGTTTATTTTAACTCCTGATTATTTTAAATATGTATGTACTGCAGTTTTGTGCTCCAGAAACGTGAACCAGCCATTCTCAATTTATTACGGTTTACTCTTGATTTGATTTATTACAGTTTGTTACAGTTTGTTAATGTTTTCATTAAATTGATTTGCAATTGCAAACTATTACATTAATTTTTTTTCTGACACGAATTCATGAAAGATATTTACATTTTTGACTTAGAACTTTCGTGACTGCAGGAATTCATATTTTTTGGTTCTTTCGGTAAAGTCACGTAGATAGAAAAATAATAAATAAAAAAATAAAGTGAATTAATATAATCAAAATAAAAACAAGATTATTTAAAATTTTATTTTATTTTTATTTCATTTTTTATTATTTTTATTCACTTTATTTTTATTATTATAAAAATAAAATGTAAATACTATTTTATTTTGATTATTTTTATTCACTTTCTTTTTTATTATTTTTCTATTAACGTGACTTTACCGAAAGAACCAAAGAATATAGATGTTTAAAATGTCTCATTTGTTTTTAATTATCTTCACACAGTTGTGGTATTTTCATTCGCGTTCGGCATTCAAATTAAAATACATGACAAGGACAAATGAAACTCCCCTGAACGTTGTGATGGCAATCGGTCTGATAATTAACCTAGCATGCACGGTACAAAGTGTGAATGAGCACAGTTACTCTGCAACTCGAATCATCCGCCCACAGATAATCAAGAGCCATAAGCCTTGAGCATTAATGTCGATGCTGCTGATGACCGTCATTTTATAATATTGCAAAAAAACCCGTTCAGTTGTTATTCCTATCAAAACAAGTCGGTATAAATAACATATTTGTAAACGTGACAATCTTTTTCAGGTGTTGGAAAATTTTGAAATAAAACGACCGTGTGGCCTCAGGCAAAACTGATCATGGATCACGTGTGCATGTACATTGCTTGTATGGGGCAATAACGCCAAGGACTGGGTGGAGCCTGCCTCTGGCAGGGAGAGCTTGTTAACTCCTCAGCCACCCACCTCTTGCCAGGATGAGAATGGCAGTATTTTTTCCCACCATACAGTAGCAGGGAGTTTATGGCATAGAGGACCCATGGATCTCACCAGATATGCTACCATATCCCACCCTCAGATGTCCCTGGCCTTACACGTCCGCTCCTTCATTCATGAACTATAAATTATGGAATTAGGCCATAATGGGCTGTGAATCAACCACTGGGGGGGGCACAGAAAGGCTTTTTGTACGTGCACATTGAGTTGCATCAGTTGACTTGAATAAGCAATTAAAAAATCTAGGTTTTGGAATAAAGGGACATGCGCATAATTGGAGGATATTTAATGATGGATAGGGTAAGATACTTGTAAGTTTGGAATTAAACGTGTAAATATGTTGTGGAAGTGATTAACAACAGGAGGCTGTGGTGGATGGCATGCATGCAAGATGGTAAAAAGACAGTAGAGTGGACACCCGTAGGTGGACAACCAGGGGTAAAGCTCACGATAGAGTTTATCTTAGACTTGGTTTAACTTTGCAAAAAATATCGTGAAAGGAAGCAGTAATGAGATGAGGTGGCCTCGTACCAGTGACTATGTCACCGAAGGACCTTGCCTTCAACAACACGTTTCATTTTGAAGCAACATACATCAACCACTCCTAATCGGAAAGGCAAATGTCGTATACAAACTTTATCCTCCTGATAAACTGCAGAAATGAAAGCTAATGTCATGCTGCTGCACCGTGTTTTACATGAGCACTTGTCTGAAATAGTTTTTTTAAGATACAATTTTACACTCACAAATGTTATCACTTTTATGCACAGTTCAGGAGTAAGAAATGTTGGTTATTTCCAACACCGTAATTAGGTAAATCCTTACATAGCCGCATAAAATATAGGTTTGAGAATATAATGATTCGTTTAGTGGCTAGATTTTGGGAGGCAATGAAACGTGATCTCCAACCGGAAACAAGAGACTCGGACAGAAGCCTTTTAGTGTATTTGCAATCTGATATATTTTGTTCTATAATTTAAATTATGGAGACAGTGTACAGCGGTCAACGGAACTGCGAAATTAATTTTCCTTTTTCATTACTTGTGTTTTGTTTTAAATCTATACATTTGACTCCATATTAGTGGATGTTGATAAAACCTGTGCTACAGTGATTATTAACATTGCCTCAGATTGTACAGGGAATATAGAATTGTGCTGTATTGAACAGGTAAGGGTGCGGCCCTGAAATTACTGTTCCCACCACTGCTGGCAGACAAGCCAGCACGAGAGCGAGCTCTGGAGAGTATTTGGTCTACTATTCCAAATTGACCAGACGTGTTGGAAGAGCTGGGAGTATCGACACTTTACCACACGTGACCTACAGGTTGACTAACTGTAAGGTACCAATTTATACTGCTTGGTGGACAGAGGTGGAGGTTACAAATTAAGAAACTTGCCTCAATATTTCAACTGCTGCAATTAAGATAGATCGAACTAGCAGTCCAGAGGTTTGCTAGTCCAGTGGGTTCACCATTACACCACGGCGGATGCTGTTGTGCCATTTTACAGCTATGAGTTAAAATTATAAAACTCTCCAGTGTGCGAGTGAGGTCATCCAGAACAGACCATGCAACTTATAACAACGCAATGCCACAAATATGAAGAAGACATCACAGCGATGATACGCCCCGCTGCTCCTGACGCGGTTGTCTGACCTGACCACTTAAATGTGAAATTGTTGCTGTTGCTCTGCATGTACATCAGCCACACGAAAGAAGAAAAAAACAGCTGATCAACAAAGTTATATTTTTGGACATTGAACTTCATATCTGCTTTAAAAAAATGGTTACTGTTCAAAATACGTGGTTTTAATTATATTAGGCGCTATGGAAAGCAGCAATGTCGAGTATTAGTAATGCAATGTTTAAGGCAGAGTGTGTAGGTCATGCAGACTACATCATGTGAGATATCCACCCACAGCAATGCGGTGCCTGAAGGAGGCAGTACAGCATGAGAGTTGCTTTCCCTTGAATAATGAACGATATCTCCTGATGAGCGCGGATTTGTTTTTTACTCCACTTTACTTTTATATCCAAATACACTCGAGGATTTGGCCAAACATACAAAAAAGGACACACGAGAAAATAATTCGAATTATAACCTAAACTGTTAGCAAATAGGTTTACACACCGCTGTCAATGCAAAAATAAACAACATAGCTTTCAGTGTCCTTATTGTATGAAGTCGGTGCTTAGTGATGTCGTTGCATAGAGGCACCGGATGACTCAGGTCACATTTGACCATGTGAACACCAGTAGAGGCTTTACAGATATGACTACAGGTGGGATGTAACCGGAAGAAAGTTAATTAAGCGGACGTCATGTTTAATGTTCAAGAATGACTTGTACACACACACACGTGAAAAAAGATCCTTGCTGTCACACACAATTGGTTTCCATGGTTGTGAATTCATAACAGCAATGGGATCGGCTATTCACTTAACACTGGCCCATTGTTAACTTTCCTTGTTCTCGTTACCCCTACATGTCAAAGGTTGGATCTCCATCCACCTTCAACAATTGTCCTAGATATGCGTATTCTGCTGTGTTTTTCACTTAATTTTAACGCAATTTAGAGTGCGGCACAATATTTCACAGACATAAATGACAGTGACTCTGAGGCGTGGAGCAAAGTTCAGTGTCACTTGAAAGCCGGGGGGAAATAGTTGGGGCATTTAAATGTCTCTTCAAAGTCGGTGGTGTCGATTGAATGCTGCTGACAAATTTGCAGGGGAATGGTGTTTTAGATGGCAGGAGAGGAAGAGATTCGTGATTCATGCTGCTGCAGAGAGTTCCGCTGTGAGCTATAGTGGGGGTGACAGGAGCGACGAGAGATACGGTGGACGACCGAAAGTAGAGGCACGGTGGCACAGGGAAATAGTCTGGTAGCTGGCCCTGATGGTGATGGTGGATAGCCAGTGGAGAGAGCAGAGGGAGGTGAGGGAACCTAGCCAGGGATGACGGACGCCGAGGACGACACCAGGGTGTGAGATGTTTTTACAACAGTTTGAGTTTACTTTATGAGGATCGAACAAGGACTGAGTTGCAGGACTCAAGGCGAGACCCGACTACGCTGCAGCCGAAGGAGGCCCCTGAGTTGTGTTTCAATTACAAACATATTCAAATGTTTTTGTACTTGTACATTACTTTTGTTTGCTCATATTCAACCTTAACCCACACGGGTGACCGTCTTTATTAAATGATATCATTTCCTGTGGTTAATTCCTATATCATAATCATTGGCATGAGAAAATATGAGATGGTTTAGTAGTTTCTCCATTTAGATTCATGCTTTTATTTGTGCAATCCAGTTATCAGAAAACATCGTCTAATATCGCTATGAATACATTTTTCCGAATGTTTGTCTTCATGTCTGGTAATTTCTTGAGGTAATATAAGTGTAGCTTTTCCATGTTATCTTTATAAATGTGTTATGATACTTAAAATATATCTTTCAGCCTTGGTTTGTGAAGCATGGATGGCTGCATCAACTTCTACTGAGTAAAATAATTTTAGAGTCTCCAAATGCTTGGCTGTTGATGAAACTAAGTGACATCAAAACTAGTCTGGGGTTTTACTATGTATAATACAATATCTATTCAGGAAGAAGAAGTTGAATACACGAAGACGGGGTGCCATGGTGGCGAGATGTTAACTACCTCACCTGGTATACAGGTCGTCGGTTCGATCTTGACCCTGATGCCTGTATGTTTAGAGTTTGCATGTCTCTCTCCCTGCAATCGCATGGATTTTTCTCCGGGTCATCCTGTTTTTCCCTCTAGAAACATAGAGTATTTGGCTGCTCTACATTTCCACATGATGTCACTTTGTTGAGCTATAAATTGTGGCCAGGTTACTTCTGAAGAAGAGCTATATAACTCGGTGGGTCTTACCTGGTAAAATATTTGTTTTATAGATATAGTTTTAATTTTTTATTGTTTTTGACATGTGGCCATGTCAGAATATGACTTTGAAAAGGACATTCAGACCCTCAACGTTGAGAAAAGGAGAAAGAGGGAGAGCCAGTACGAGACACGGTAAGAAGTTGTCATGGAAGACACGAGGCGTTACCGTGGAGATGGCGTAGAATTGAGGGGGGGGCGGTGGACTCAGAAAGGGGACCCCACCTCGTGGCACAAACGCCCAGAAGAACAATTCCCCATAATGACCAATTTGTAACAAATTAATACCGTACCGTGAAATGCGTTGTTGTACATACATGCTGATGTTTGTTGAAGTTATGCAAATAATGTGGCTTGGGGCATGTATGTGATAAGATAATATTAGCTTCGAGAATTATACCCTTTGTGTGTTGTTTGTATCGTGTGTTCAAATAGGAATACAATGCCCTCGGCTTCAGCAGTGCCAAAGCCGGAGGAGGCCTCCAACGATGGGAAGGAGGAGGAGACGCCGGGCCTGAAAGACAACAGTACCGGCGTGGTGAGACATGCGACTCGTGCAAACAAAAAAAGATACTCATTTATTCCTTGCAAAAGGTATCTATTTGGTGTTTGAACATCTTAACACCTCCTGTTTTGTTGTCAGAAAAGGTAAAACCTATTCTTATTTTTCATATATACTTATTGAGTCTGCATACTGTAGATTAATACATTGTGCTAAACTTTATGTTCTGACTGGAAGCTATCACAGAAATGTATGGATGAGTAAGATGAAACCTTTTTTTTAAGTATTACGTAGAAATAAAAATCCCATGTTACAAGAGTTCAGAATGTATATATTCATACGTATATCTGATTTTTTAAAAGCAATGTAGTGGTGTAAAACAACTTAAAGGAATGTTTATATGGAAAAATAGTTCAAGTTTGCACAGCCATTGTTTGTTTACGCAGATGTTTATTTAGTAAGCATGCACAACAATAGAAGGAGTTGTTTTATACCAAGGCACATGGATGATAGTGAAAAATGTTGTGTTATGTCAAACGGCTGACATGGAGTACTGAATTTATTGACTAGAAGTAATGAACACGAATATAAAATGTAAAAAACAATCTGACAGAGAGTTATTCCACTTTTTATTTTTCACGCTTTTCAACTATGGTCCTACTGTAACTACTTGAACAGGGGGTCGTGATAATTATCGTAAAGATGATCCAATATAAATAAAATCGTAGTCTAAACGTATATATTATAAAATGTTTTATTCGGCTTCTGACATAATAAATTATCGCTGAGTAAGACGCTACTCAACCTCGAGTTGCCACATTCCTTCGTGCCTCTTCGCTCTCGCACTACGCTGCCTGTCTCGCTCTCCCGTGGACGGGCCGTCTTCACGAGCTGCCCAAACTGCAACCAACCACCCCGTGTCCTCGCCCTCACTTGACTTTTTGTATCTACCTCCTCCTTTCCCGGTATTGTTTTAGAGCGTTCTGTGTCCCGGCCTGACCTGGTCATCGTATTGCTCATGGTAACTCCCGCCATTCAGTCTTTTGCAAAATGTGTCCGTATGGTAACTCGGCTATTCTCTCCGCAACATTTCCCTCCTGGCTCCTACACCTCCCCATCGCCCTGCTCTCTCGCTGCCGCTAACCTGCTCGCCAGCCCGGCTGTCCACCATTTCTTAGCAGTCGCTAGAAATTTATTTGTTTTCAGTCCTGTATTTTTTTCTGTTGTGATGGATTTTCCCAACATTTAACAGATTTACACAAACAGGGTGAAACTGAGCACTAGTTACTTCTCAAACTTTAACCCTTGATCCCCATCTAGTGTATTCCCGTGCGTGTGATTGGTGTGTGCTATGAAGATTGCAGAGATTTCATGTCTGAGTGGTGCGAGACCGTGAGAATGGCTCGCAGATCCTTTTCATCACCCCCCTCCCCCCTTCCTTGAGACAGAGCCGTCCTCGGCTCAACAACTGTGCGCCTCAGCCGGTCAAAGCCAACCGCGGCCGGGCGCATGTAATTTACACAAACAACAACAAAAAAGTGCAATGAAGGCAAAATTAACACAACGAAAATGTGCAATAAAGGCAAAAGAAACACAACACAATTCCCCCTCCGTCCCCTTGTTAACAAGTGTGCCGCCTCTGTCGCAGAATTCCCCCACGATCCGACCCCTCGACTGAACACAACAGGGTTGCAGGGATGCCCGTGTCCACAGCTGCGATGAGGCGGCGTGAGCATGAGCGGGTTAAGGGTCCCCATCCTGTGGCCAAGTCCTCGGCCAATGCTGCGGCTGCATCTTCAGCCACGAACGCCGATGGATCCGGTGCTGGCGTCCCGGTCACCTGTAGTCCTGCAGGGTGGACAGTGGCTGCGTTGTCAGTCAGACGCGTAGCAGGCCACGAGTGTGACAACCTCCTCCCACCCAGCCGAAGTGATAATGAAGGGGCAGCTCCGCCGCGACGTAACGTTTTAGCCTAGAGGGGTGAACGTACCACCTATATTTTCCCAACTGAATGCGAACACATTGAGGTCGCAATACCTGCACCACTGTGACCGGGCCCTGCCAGGGCTGGTGCAGTTTCGCTGACGTACATAACAGGACCTGCGGGCAGTGCTGCCAAGCCAGGTCACCCACTGCAAAGAGATACGCGACCGGCAGCTTAGCCCGCAAGCACTGGTTCGTAGCTTGCGCAGACGTGGATGCTGCCGAGGCCGCCACGCAAATACTTGAGCAAGTGGCGGAATGCAGCTGGCCAATCTCCCGAACGCGACGGGACAGGGTGCAACTGTGCCTCAATCGGACGGCTCAGCTGATGTCCATACATCAAGAAAAAGGGTGAGTATCCCATTGATGCATGCGGCGCCGAGCGATAGGCCGCCAAAACCACAGGGATGTGCAAATCCCAGTCTCTCTGCTGGTCATTGACCAAGTGACGTAGCATCCCCGAGATGGTGCAGTTAAAGCGTTCTACCATCCCGTTCGTTTGTGGGTGGTAAGGGGAAGTCCACACCTTCTTGACACACAGCATGTCACACACCTCCTGCAAAAGCTTGGAGGAAAAGTTTCTGCCCTGGTCCATCAGCAGCCGCTCAGGAGCCCCCTTGTCAGTGACATAACCATTTATAAAGGTGTCCGCTATGGATGCCGCAGTCTGGTTGGCCAACGGGCAGGCAAAGGGCCAGCGTGTAAAGTACTCCATCCCCACCAGTAGGTATATACTTCCTCGAGGAGTGGCGGGGAAGGGGCCCAATATATCTAGGGCCCCGAGTTCGTTTACCCGGGAAACTTTAATGGACTGCAGGGGAGCGCTTCCGACAGTCCGAGCATGCCGACACCCCATGGCAGATATCGGCAGACATGCCTGGCCAAAAATAGTGATGGCATAGCGTAGCCTTGGTGTTATGGCTACCTATATGGAGCAACTGTCGGGCGTGAACATTGGAGCATAGCTGACTCCGCAGGGAAGAGGGCACCACCAGGATTTTACGGTTCACAGTTGCGTACCAGCGCATGAACAAGCCTTCCCACATGAGGAAAAACTTCCCCGATGTGGGGAGATCGTCAGCGCATGCCATCTCCACCAGGCGGTGAAGCGGTGCCAAAGGCCGCGTCTGCCTGCTGCCGGTCCCCTCCATTCCTGCAGGGTGAGCCCCAAGTCGCTATCAAGCATACTGGTGGCCCCGCCCGGTCCATGTCCCTGGCGGACACCGGCGCCACGATCTCGGGTTGCGCTGCAGCCGGCGGTCTACAGCACGCAGATCCGTCGCCGCAGGCACACTTAACGGGGGCTGACAGTCTGGACAATGCATCTGCGTTCGTATGCCTGATTCCTTTCCAATGCACCACTCTATATGTGTACTCTTGCAGCCGCTCCAACCATCGGGCCATCTGACCAGTCGCTTGGTCAATGCGGAGTGAGTACGGCAATGCTGCATGATCCGTCTGAACAGTGAAGTCGCGGCTGTACAGGTAGGGCCGAAACTGCTGAACAAAGTGGACGACGGCAAGCAGCTCGTGGCGCGTAATGCAATACCGCTGCTCAGCCTGCGACAAGACACGACTTCCGTAGGCAATGACAACCTCTCTTTCCTCCTGATTCTGGGAGAGAATGGTCCCGATGCCGACGTTGCTAGCATCCGTATCCAGCTGGAAGGGAATCGAAAAATCGGGGTATGCTAGGGGTGGCGCTTCTGTCAGATGCTGGCACAGTGTCAAGAACGCGTCGGTCTCTGCCTGGCCCCAACGAAACGACTTTCCCTTCGCCGTGAGCGCATGCAAGGGCTTGGCGATGGCAGAAAAGTTCTCAACAAAACGGCAGTAATAGGATACAAACTCCACAAATCTGCAGACTTCAGGCATGGACGTGGGTGTTGGCCAATCACGGACACACGCCATTTTGTGGGGATCTGTCGCGACCCCCGACGCATTAACGACATGACCCAAGTATTTTACGGAGGAGCGAACCAGATGGCACTTGGAGGGTTTTAACTTTAGGTTTGCATCACAAATTTTTGAAAACACCTGTCGCAACCGGGTTAAGTGGTCCTCGAATGTGCAAGCGAATACGATTACATCGTCTACATAGATGAGACATTACTCCCACTGCAATCCCGCAAGTACCAACTCCATCAATCGCTGGAAAGTGGCAGGAGCCATCTGTAAACCCATCGGCAAACAATTGAAATTAAAGAGACCTTAAGGCGTTCTGAAAGCAGTTTTTGGTCTGGATTCAGCATCTAGTGGTAGCTGCTAGAATCCTGCCAAAAGATTTAGTGTGGAGAACATTTTTGCTCCTGCGAGTGCATCCAATGAGTCATCTATGCGCGGTAGCGGGTAGACTTTGTTGAGCCGCCTGAAGTCTATGCAAAACTGCAAAGATCCATCCGATTTCTTAACCAATACAACCGGCGCCCCATATGGACTTGTAGATGGCGATATGGTGTCAGACTCCATCATCTCTTGCGCTGCCCTCTGCACATGCTCCTTCTCACTAGGACCCATCCTATAGGCATTCTGCCGAATGGATGGCGCATCGCCCGTATCAATGTGGTGCTCCATCAGCGTCGTGTGACCAACATCGTAGGGACCCTGCGAAGTCACGCAACAAAGTCCTGAGCTTCCCCGAATCCTTTGCCGACAGATCGGTGTTTTGTGCCAGGAGCGCGTCTATCCATGACATATCCTCTGCGCTGACCGATGGACCATCCAAAAGCACATTGTTGACGGTCTGCGCCTCAGGGTCCGAATGCATGGGACTGACATTTGCAAACAAGGTCCCTTCCTGAACTGTAATGGGTGTGTCAGCCGTGTTAAAGACCTGCAGGAACAGTGGCTGATTCCTGCACACGAGCGTGTCAGCTGCTGCTAGGCAATGGCGACCAACTACCGACGGCACCGTGGAGACAATGAGTGGTGCATCCGACCGGGAAGTGACGAGTGGGGTGCGATATCGAAGCGGCACCAAGGCTTGCACACCAGGCGGGATCGAGACCATAGTCCCGACCAGCACCTGAACTCACAGAAGCTGCTTCCATTCC